TCACAAAGAGTTGGACATAACTAAAAATGACTAAACAGCAACAAAAACAATGCTAAAGCTGAGGATAAGCTGAGTCTGGTGAAAGAAATTGAGAATAAAAAGATTTTTAAAAAAATTCTGCCAGGGAGTAGGGCCTGTGTTTTATGAGGATGGGATAATTAACAACTGAGAAACTGTTGAGATGCTTAATTATTATTTTTTCATGTTCTCTCCACCAAAGTGAATGTTTTTTTTTGTGATAGCAACAGTATTTCCTTTTTAAATTGTTTTAATTATTTATTTTTCATTTTCAACATTCACTTCTATAAGATTTTAAGTTCTAAATTTTCTCCCCTTTTTCCTCCCCAAGATGGTATGCAATCTAATGTAGGTTATATATTTACAATCATATTAAACACATTTCCACGTTAGTCATGTGGTAAAGAAGAATTAGAACCAAAGGGAAAACTATATGAGAAAGAAGAAACAAAAAAAGAGTGACAGACAGACAGACACAGAGACAGAGAAAATAGCATGCTTCATTCTGCATTCAGACTCTGTAGTTCTTTCTCCGGATGTGGATAGCATTTTCAATCATGAGTCTTTTGGAATTGTCTTATATTCTTGCATTGCTGAGAAGAGACAACTCTATTAATGTTGGTCATCATACAACGTTACTGGTAGCAACAATATTGCTTAGATCCTTTCGTGTAGACTTGCCTAGTTTTTCCTAAAGTCTTACCTCACACAGGTTAGGCTAATTCTTCTCCTTTAGAGGTATTAAAGCTTTCCTTCACTCAGGGGACTGGCTCAGATCATTGATATGGCTTTCTTTTTGCTTTAATACAAAAGGCTATGAATAGATCCAACTTCTTTTCTGAGATATCTTAGTATAAACCAGCTGTGGAAAAGTAAACTGCCTTCTGTTAAACTATTGCATGACCTACAAAAACCTCACTTCATTCCAATACTGGACCTAAACTACCAGGAGACTGTTCAATGTTAGTCACAGCCCACAACAACCTTGTATAGGAAATGAAAGAATAGAAATAATAAACAATTGATACCCAATATAAGTAAGAGAGTTCTTGACTATAATTGATAAATCCAAGTTACTTGCCACAGATTACTAAAATTTTGGGGTTAGAAAGGAGTAGGCAGATGTGATTGGTGCACCACTTTCAATGATATTTCAAAGATCATAGAAATGGGTAGAGAAGTGCAAAAGATTTACCAATATTAAAGAAAAAAGAAGATAATAGTCTGCAAACTATAGACTATTGAGCTCAATTTTCATTTGCAGAAAAATTCTAGAATGTACTAAAAGATAGTTGAAGAATATCAAAGGAAATAATTGGTTATTACCATCACATTACTTTATCATAAGCAAGTCATCCAAGATTAACCTCTACTAATTCCTTTTTTGGACAGGATTACTAAAGTAGTTAATGAATGAAATGCTGGGAATATCGCTTACCTAGATTTTTAGCAAAGATATATATGTGTGTGTGTGTGTGTGTGTGTGTGTGTGTGTGTGTGTGTGTGTGTGTATAACCATTCTATTCTTGTGGAGAAAATAGAGAAATGTGGTGAATTATAATACAGTCACATGACTGAGTATCTGACCAAAAAGAGTAGTTGTAATGGTTCGATGTCAACATGACAGGAGTTCTCCATTGTAGTACACCACGCAGGTAAGCTTGAATTTATGCTGGTAAGCACTTTTGTTAATGGCTTAGACAACATCATATGTGGTGTGTTTATCAAATTTGCAGGTGCCATAAAACTGGGAAGGACAGCTGACAATCTGGAAGGAACATTAAGTTTAACTAAATAAGGTGAAATTTAGTAGAGATAAATCTTACATTTGTGTCCTAGAACAAAGACCAATTTCATCAGTGTAAGATGACTAGATATCTGTTGTTCTGAAAAAAAAGAAGATATGGGGGTTTTAGAAAAGTAGACGTTAAATATGTCTGCAAAATGATACGGCTGCCACAAAAGTGAGTTCAGTCTTGGACTAAGTTAAGAAAGGCATACCTTCTGATAACAAGGAAGTGATAGTTCTTAGCATCATGGTTTAAGAAGGACCTTGATAAACAGGATTATGTCCAAAAAAGAGAAACTAGGATGGCGAAAAATCTCCATGTTTCATGTGAATCATTTGAAATGACTGGGGATGTTTAGCCCAAAGAAGACTTAGATGGCTATGTTAAAATATTAGAAGGACTGTTATTTGGAGGAAGGATTAAACTTATTCTTTTTGGCCCCAGAGAGCAAAACCAAGAGCAATGGTTGGAATCTACAAAGAGGCCAATTAAGATTTGATATTAGGAGGAAAAAATAAACTTTCAAACAATTAGAGGTGTCTAAAGTGGACTGAATGACCTCAAGAGATGGGGAGTTCCCTTTACTTGCAGATATTCAAGCAGAGGGTTCACAACCACTTGAGTATGTTATGATGAGTATGCCTTGTGTACCTCAGATCAATCAGATAGCCACTGAGATTGCTTCCACTGCTCATATTCTGTGTATCTATCGTTTTGTGGTAATCTAGTCATACCAGTTCATTTCATGATGATCTGTGGTTACAGAGCACATCAAAATTATCTTATCTACTGCAAAATCTATATGGCTATGGTTAACATAATATTTCAGCAGGTCCTTAACTTATTCAGTTGCCTCCACAGCATTAAAAAAAAAGAGGCTTTTCGTGTGTATGTGGTTTAGGGAATAACTGTGAGTTTGTAAATGAATTAATTTGTTGGTATGGGAACTCCCTCCAATTATGCACCATCATCTTTCCAGTCATCTAGGTTTGTTTTCTCAGTCATCTTCTATTTCTCTCTTTCCTTCATTGCACAAACACAATCAGTTATATTCCAGGTCTTCCTAATCTCAAACCTGTACTATTTCAATTGCCACCTAATTGGTCTCTAAGCTTTAAGTCTCTTCCCTTCACCAATCCAACCTCCACAGAGCTGACAAAATTATATTCCTATGACACAGATCTGACCTTGTCATTCCTCTGTTCATTCAGCTCTAGGGGGTTCTTGTTACTTTTATGACCAAGAAACTCCTCTATCGAGCATTTAAAGTCCTTCATATCTTGGTTCCAACCTACATTTCCAGTCCTAATATTTCTCTTCAAATACTCTTCACTTCAGCCAAACTGGCTTATTTGTCTCCCCACGCCCAGCCCCAAGTGATAGTTCAACTACTCTCTCTGTTTTTTTTTTTTAATTGCCTGTACCTGTACCTAGAATTTTCTATCTCCTTAACTCAGCCTCTTAGAATCTCTAGTTTACTTCAAAGATCATATCAAGTGTCACCTCCTAAATAATTGTTTCCATGATATAGTCAATTGTTAGTTACCCCTCCAAAATTGCTTGGTATTTATTTTGTAAATATTTATCTTTGACCATATTTTCTCCCGTGAAAAAATGTAACCTTCTTGTGGGAAGGGATTGTTACATTTTTTTCCTCCTTTTTCACCCCATGGATAGCACAGTGTTTGACATTGTGCTTTAGTAGTCACTTAATAGTTGCTTTTGAATTAAATGACTATAAGAACATTCAGAAGTCAAGGAGAATCCATGAGGAATCTGGGCCCTTGTCTGCTTGCCTGTCCAAATAACCCAAAGTTATTCTATATAAACAAATATGGATAAAAATTCATTTAAAAAGGGAAAAAATAATCCTGTAGTACCTTAAGCTACATGCCTCCCATCATTATGTTATAATGTTGATATTATGAATATTAATATAAACAATGTTGATTAATATCTAGATTTGAATATGGGGTCGCTCTTCTGCTTTCTGAACCTCTAAAAAATTTGTCATGAGGGAAGCACTCCATCCTCATATTATTTTCATTGACTTGACAGTCAGAAATATCCCTCTTCTAATGGACAAAATCCAACTGTGAGGTAAAACCAAGGGTTTTATTTCAAGTTCCTCACCCCTGTTTGTTAAACCAGACTGTAACTTTATTAATGAAGCTTGAGGTGAAGGTGGAAATGCCACCAGTGACAAGTGTCAGATTCTATCACCTTAAAGACCAATGAGAAGACACATTCCCCATCTGTCTTGGGATAAATATTTCTAGAATGGAAATGAGGTACAGAAATTCATCTGTAAGCTTATGGTCTACTTAGAACAGTGTGAAGGAAGAAAATGGTAGTAAGGTGGTCAGTCATACTGATAGCTTTTCTGTCTACACAATGTCAGAGAAAGTTTCCCCTTCAGTGGAGAAGATAGAAATCATGGAGCTACACTGAAGTTTCTTTACAACTTATGTCTGTTTTTTTTTAATATCTGAGCCATTTAATTTTCCTAATAAAGCAGATGCATAGTAATATAATAAAATTAAAAGAATTTGTAATTACAATTTCAAATGATATTTTATTTCCTTTTCTCTTTTTTCCCCTAACCCCCACCCTCACTAGCCCCACAAATTAATCCAAGGGTGCTCACCAGTCCCACAAAATAAGGTAAAGGGTGGTGTGGATACAAGAGATAGTAAAGAGTCACAGACAGTGATCTAGCAAAGGCTCTCAAATTTGTCCCATGTGTGATAGAACAGTATAAGACAAATGCTAGATGCAGTGAGAAACACAAGATATCATGAAGGGTGAGCAGTCTTAATGCCTTAATCTTCTAGAGATGAATGAGAAGCTTGAATCCATATCAGTGTAATATTTGCTTTATAATTCTGTCTTTTCTTGTTCTGAAAAAAAAATTAGCACACCAAAACTTTAGGCATATGTGTCAACCCTGCCACTGAAATGGGTGTATTTGATCTGATCTGTTAGTAAAGAGAAGCTTGATCAATTTTGTTTTTTTTTAATTATGAAAGAATTCAAATGAATAATACCCCTTCAAGGAATTCCATGTTATAAATAATTCCATATTATAATGCCATGTCATGTCATTCCATGATATGACCACATAGTCCTTTTTATATTCAAAGATTCATCAATTTCTATTAATTTAATATGATATATGTCTATTTGTTTCAGGTACTCTGTTTATAAAGACCCAGCAGGATGGCTAAACATCAACCCAATAAATGGGACAATTGACACAGCAGCTGTCTTGGACCGTGAATCTCCATTTGTCCACAATAATATATACACTGCACTTTTCCTTGCAATAGATAGTGGTAAGTACTAAAAACTTAAAAAAAATGTTTTTGAGTAATGTTTAACATTAAGGTTTTCTTGTTCCTTCTAACTTTTGAAGGAATTATGTCCTGGACAGATAGAAATTAGATGATAAGTTAGATGTGTTTTTCAAGTCGATGATCAATCCATAAGCATTTGTCAGTTGTCCACTATAAGGAAAACACTATGCTAGATATTGGGCATACAAACACTGAAATTAAAAAAAAAAAATCCTTGCCCTCAAAGGCCATCATTGAAGAGTGATGTCATTTTCCGACAGAAATGCAATGTCTGGTGCAAGTCCTTTCTAGACATTTTTAGAATTTAAGTTTCAATCAGCATCTTACAGTGTATGCCACAATATAGTAAAATTGCAAAAGGAACATGAATACTGAAGGAGACAGAGAGACAAACAGGCACACACAGAGAGAGACAGAGAAAGACAGAGACACACAGAGAGAAACAAAGAGAGAGAGACAGAGACAGAGAGACAGAAAGAGAAAGAGAAAGAGAAAAAAAGACAAAGACAGAGAGGGTAGAAAGGAGGGGAGGGGAGAGGAGAATCAAATATAGAACTTGCCTAGGGGGAGAATTTTCCTTTTGGTGAGGCAATTGGGGTTCAGTGACTTGCCCAGAGTCACACAGCTAGTAAGTGTTATGTGTCAGAGGCCAGATTTGAACTCAGGTTGTCCTGATTCCAAGGCCAGTGCTCTATCCACTGTGCCACCTAGCTGCCCCTGGGGGAAGAATTCTTAAGCAAATAAGAGTTAGAGAAGATGGCAAAAGTTAAAACAAGATAACTGTGATCACATTAAATTAGAAGGTGATTGCACCAACAAAAATAATGCAATTGAATAAGAAGGGAAGCAGCCAAATATGGGAAAAATTTGCATCAAATGTCTCTGATAAGGACTTTATACAAGATATATCATGAAAGATAGCAATGCAAATACATGACATCTAAAACCTTCTCCACAATGAATTAATGGCTAAGGAATATGAACAAATAGCTCTCAAAAGAAATATAACAGTATCTGAAATATTTCTCCACATCAACAAAAGTAAGAGAAGTACAAATCAAAATAACTATGCGGTTCCCCCCTCATACTCGGCAAATAAATTGGTATAGTAAAGGAGGTAGAAGCCAGGAGTGCCCCTCAAAGATAGATCTCTAGAGTTTAGATGTAATAGCCAAAGTATTTGTGATATATGATGCTAGGACCAAATCAAGTTTCTCTACATCCTGGATGTAGTTTCCTGATATGTTTTTATGGATAAGTGATTGTTGTCAGGCACTGTATTTAGGGAGAAACAGAGATCTAAAAAGTATGCAAAAGTAATGTTTAATAAAAATATTACTGGGATAGCATCATTTTTTCCTGGGATGCTATTTTTGTAATCCACCATTTTCCTTCTTTGAAAAACAGAACATTTACTTGTCTTTCCTCTTTTGGAGTCTGCCTCTCCATTCTTTGTAATTTCCAAAAAGTTATTGACAATAACTATAATATCATATTTGCAAGTTCTGTCAATACCTTGGGATAGAAATCATCAGGGCCAAGAGACTTGAGCTGATTTAGAGTAGTCAAATATCCTTTTACAATCCCCTCACATATCCTAGCCCACAGTTCCCTCATCAGCATTTCCACCAATAGAATATAAGTTCCTTGATGGCAGGACATACTTTATTTTTGTCTTTATATTTCAAGTGCCTAGCATAGTGTCTCATACATTTTAGACAATAAATAAATGTTGAATTAAATTCTGTGTTTTCCAAATTGAAGTTCATTCACCTTGTTGGAAAAAAATGGCAACAAAATAGAAAGTGAGTAGAATCATAGACTTAGAGATGGAAAAAGACCATGGAGTTCATCTCATTCACACACACACACACACACACACACACACACCTCTCTCTCTCTTTTTTTAACAGATGTGAAGGCTAAGGCAAAGAAAGGTAAAATGATTTGTGCAAGGTCACATACCTATTCAAATCACAAATACCTGGAATTTGAACCTTTGTCCTCTGTCTCCAAATCCAGTGCTTTGTTTTGTTTTGTCTAGTCTTGTTTATTCGTTATACCATGCTGCCTCACTCTGGTGATTTAAATCTCTTTAGAATCAGCTACTATAACTAGCTTGCCCCTTGAGGTGTATTTATTTCTTCCTACCTCTTGTGTTCCCGCAAAAAGAGAAGTATGTTTAAGTTAAGTCATGCTCCTCCAAACCTTACTATTTTCATTGACAGGATTACATTCTCCAAGTTATCAAGTTTTAAAAACTTATAGTCATCTTTGATGCTTCCTTCTTCCTTGCCACTCTATCAACTAATCAGTTGTAAATTATTTTTCATTTTTTCTCTACAATATGTCTTGCTTTATCCCACCAACATAACCAGAGGAAAGAAAATAGAAGATAGAAGAGCAACTAGGTATCTTCAATAGCGGTATACAATATTCTTTACAGTATATACAGAAGTTATAATACTCTGAGCTAATAGAATTTGGGCTATTATAGCTTCTCACCTTGACTACTATAAAAGATACTAGATTAGTCTCCTTCTTCCATCCTTTCTCCTCCTCAATACATTCTACTATAATATGGTTTTGAGAACTCTGGTGGAATAAAGATGAAATGACAGAGGAAACAAAGGCTTGAGATTCTGAGCGTACTGATTTATTAAGCAATGCATGTCAATAGTCTAACAAATTAGAACCAGACCTAGCACAGGTACAGCTTTGGCGCTGGCCCCCAAATACAGGGGGAGACAGAATCTTATACATTACAAACAATTACTCTAATAGACCAATTAATTAAAAAAACCAATTAACCAGAATACAAAATTAGGCAATCTAATTTCTAATTGGAGGAAATATTAGGGACTTTCCAATTTGGGTGGGGGCTAGTGAACAGCTGCAATTCTCTAAATTCAGAAAAAGAGGTGTCCAACTACGCCCCAAGTGTTTGCAAACAATCAAAGGAACTTGGAAACAATAACTGATTGATCCATATGGGGTCAGTTTTCAGATAAAATATAAGGGTTTCTTGAGATTTATAAATGTGAGAAAACTCCTTGAATCAGTCTTCAGAACTAACTGGATTTCTGGTCAGCATAAACAAGGTCTTTAGTTAAGGCTCTCTTAGCAACAGGTAGAGGTAGTCCACCTTCCCAGCCATTCAGGGCCAAGTTCAAACAGTACAATAAAGTTTTCTCACAATTCCTACAATTGAATAAAGTTTGTTTGTTTTCACAAGACAGAAATTGGACTAGACCTATAATAAAAAGGGAACTAAGCCAGCTCCAGAATTGAGTCACAAGATGGAGTCAGTGTGATTCACTCAATTTCTATGACAACTTGCTATTAGAATCCCATCAATTCCCTCAGAACTAACACTAGGATTTGTAGTTCAGAGGGTCAAATATTCCTTACAGTGTTTTGGACTATTGCAATCATTGAGTCCAAAGGGGGACTTGAGTCATATATGAGCTGTAAGAGAAAAGGATCTTGCAAGAAAGAAAACTGAGGAGCATGCAGAGGGTTTCCCCAGTCCTTCCAAGGACTTAGTGAGCTAAAATGGAAAAAAAAAATCAGTGGCACATGAGCAGCAAATACCAGAGTACACTAAAAGGAGAAGCTGAAAGGAAGGTGGAGCTATAGCATAGAAATGAGAGATCTAGGCAGGGTCATCAGAACTGTGAAAAAATTGAAAAACAAAGGATGTAGTCACCTCTTTATGAACCAAGAAGAGTAAAAAAAAAAAAAAAAGCTTTGTTCTTCCCCAACTTTCACTCTGCATGCTTATCTACTTGCTAAAAAACATTGTTTGTTTATAAGTAGTTAATAAACTCATATACCTGTTATCTACATGAAGAAAATTTTAAAAGTTAATGGTAATCAAGTGAGCATCTGAGCACGGGAGATAACACTTGCTAGGTGCTTAAGGTCTTGTTTTTAGTGTGAGATACCACCCTGATTTAAAGAACAAGGGAAAACTGGGGGGAGTATATGCAGTTAAAATGGTATAAAGGATCCTTTTGTGACTTTTTTTTGAGACTCAAAAATTATAGCAAGGCCAGATTAGAAAAATATTACTGAAAGATGGTGGAATCTCATTCTAACATCACTAATGGAAGACTAAAATAATACCTAGGATATATTAATTCTGTTAGGGTTATCACTCTGAAATTTGGGGGTGGGATATATATATATATATATATATACACATACATATGTATACATGCATATGTATGTATGTATATATGCATATTATAACAATATTCTTTAATTCTCTCAATTTCCTTGAATTAAAAATTGAGTTTAACATAAACTGTTTAGTTTACATGTAAATAAAGCCCATATGTTTGGCTAAAATATCACTGTAGTTAAATGACTTGATCAATGAATTATTTTCTCTATAGTTGAATAAAGTGTGACCTTTCACACTGGCAAGTTTTTACTCTTTTATCTTTGGAGATGAATATCATAATTTACCTTATATAGTTCTGATTTTTTGAAAAGGTTAAGATGAGGTCTCCAGAGCATAGCCATTCTTTATTAGAGGGTTTCTGTGGATAGAAATTGCTCTTCTGGGTAAAAAAAAAAAGAATAAAAGTATAAAAGGTATTAAAGAAAACAGCAAGATGGAAAAATATTTGAGAGTGTAATAAGAATGGAAGTCCTTCAGGAATATGCTAACAGCAGGGTAATGCAATGGGTATTAGTGGTTGCTAAATCCCATTAGGGATATAGTTTCCTCTCAATTAACCACCCAGAAAGGTCAAGTGTCAATCTGATTGTCCCACATGGGCTAGGAACTATCACTGGAGATTTCATATAACATTTCTGGAATTACACTTCTAAGATTGGTCCGCAAAAAGTCCCAAACACCCCCCAAAAATTGTCAACAGGAACCAGACACAGTGCTACACACATTTGGATTGGTACTTGACTTGTTTTGACTTCTTCCTGAGGATTTTTTCCCCATCCAGTTATCTCCT